TCTTCTTCTTCCTCCCCTTCTGCTTTAGCATCCAAATCAAAGGTGAATAGGACAACTGAGAGCATCTTCATCTTTTTCCTCCCCCTCTTCTTTAGTATCAATATCATTAGCGTCAGAAACAAGAAAACTGAGAGTCAAAAAAAAGTGAGAGTCATTTTTGCAAGCCCCTCTGATCTTCTTGATTTTATGCTAGCCCTTACAGGAGCAAGCCCGTGAGCCACCAAAACTAAAGCCCAAGTTTCAAGCAGTAGTGGAGAGAGGAAAACACCCATTGATCAGACCCGGACTCAACTGAGCTGGTGTTAAAATCCTATTGGAACTAGTTGTTCTTGTAGTATCCTTTCGCACAGGGTTATTGCGGTCCTTTCGCGGGAACTTTCGCAACAAAGGTATATATATATAAAACTCATATTATACTGTATTCAACATATGGCCTGTACATCTGTACGTCATCCAACATGGCCCTTCGCATATTCTGTTCGCAAGCATGCTTTTAATTTCGTTCCATCCTTCGCAACAGCTTGCTCAAGGCTTTCGCGAATTGAGTTTGCCTTTCGCGGTGGGTATGTCAGGACAACCGTATGACCAAAAGTCCAAAAGTCTACATAGATCTACATAGTGTATTTTGACGTGGCTCACCTCCGCCTGCCGAGTGTCAAGCAGAAGGTCCTGTGGAAAATCAAATGTCCTAGCTGCTCACAATGTCTCCCAACTACCACCCTCCCTGCAATCCATGCGCCACTTTTGCTGCTGTAATTTCGTGCTCAGCTGCCGGCAAACGAATTTGTCTCTGTTGAAAAGATTCACCGGTGACGCAAAAGGGCAAACATTAAATATAGAAAATGCGGAAACCGGTGAACTAAACAAAGCCATATGCAAAACTTTGCTCACACTCATCCAAATCACGTGGATCGTATCACGTGATCCTATCACCTAAAGTCATCTTGCTTGATGCTCCTTTCCTCCTTGCCCTCGACAAGGCCGTACAAATATTCGCCTCAGTCGCTGTTTGCTAAGTTTCAGCACGAAAAGCAAGAAACACATACACACACACACTCGAGGTAAGAATTCTTTCGACGGCCACCGCCACCACCACCCACAGGCCTAAGCGAAAAAATGTTCCTGGGAAAACAAGTGGTTTCCAGCTGCGTCATCTTGAAATTGCCCAGGTGCACCATAAATTGCAGGTACGTTTACAGCGTACAGCTCTCACCATTGGCCTTCATTGGCCATCCACCGATGGTGAGAGGGATGGCCCCCTGCTTTAAAAGATTTGCGAAAAAAGAAGTCAGATCTGGTGAGGTCAGCAAAGGTTTTCGAAAAGGTTGCAAAAAGCAGAAATCAGCCACAAACTTGGCACTTTTATGCGCGCTCTTCTCTTCGCTTCAAAGGCCAAATACCCCCCATATGACTCCAAGATAACACACACACAACATTTTTGGATGTTCACGTTTATGTAAACCCAAGGGACAAAAATCCTTGGAGTTGAAGGTCTGCGGGTCGTAAGCTTTCCTTGGATCGACATACAGTGGCAAAACAATGCAAAACACAATTTGTTGTTGAGCCGGCCGGAATTTGCAGAAACACCCACCTGCCTGTCCCACCCTTTTGACGCCGCAATATTTGTTAAGGCTTGAAACCGGAAAACCTCTGACCTACAAAACAACAACCTGATCTAGACTCTAGACAAAACACACGTAGCAGGCAGCTGAGCCCCTAAAACCAGCTCACGAGTGGAGGCTGAGATTTACTAAGCTTTCAAGCAAGACTGGGCTGCTTGAATGGCCTTGGACAACATATATATATATAAATTGGAACGCTTCTAGCTCGGCAAGTGTCTTTTCAATGGATTGGAGATGTTGCATGAGCACTTCCAGAGATAAAGGCTCCGAAGGCACTTTCATACTGACGCAGTTCTTGGACAGCCCACCTTGCCTAAGGTGTCAAAGCCCGGCCCAAGCGGGAAGAATATCTCTTCTGAACATAGATACAAAAGCTAGAAAGGCTGTGTTGGTATACGGTGCACATATGTAGTGGTCCAAAGACAATAGACACATAAAAACCGCTGTTGTTTGAAGTCAAGCGCATGAATGCGAGGCCATCTGGGTGCCAATCCAATCGCAAGGGTTTGATGCTCGATCCTTCACTCGCATCGCCCTCGCTAATGTTGTAAACAATTGCCAGCCGACTCTCCATGGGCTCCATGGAGAGATTGGGGGATAGTGGAGCTTGAATCCCTCTTTCTGGTCTCACCAACCACACTTCCTCGATCCGTGCACCAGAGTGTTCCAGCTTTAACAGCTGAAGATTCAAGTGCGGATTAAAGCACCGGACTGGTGGCCGACGTTGAACACAGCAATTCCCACGAAAACCATCGGTCAAACCACTACTCACCGCCCCCATCGTTTCATGAGTTCCATGCTGTGAGCCCAAGTGTCCACGAAAGTAGGCAGCAAAGCGAAAGACAAACACAGAGAGAGAGAGAGAGACACACACACACAGAGACAAAGACCGGGGAGAGAGGGAGACAGAAGGATAGAATCAAAGAAAGGAAGACTGTGTGCAGTTTTACTATTTTTCCCCAGATAGCGAAGCTATGGGGTTCTTACTTCAAATATCAATGAGTTGTCCGTGCGCGCTTTCGAGACAGGTTGCTGGTGCTGGGTGCCGATGCTGGTGCTGCTGTGAGCTGGTTGTGCGCGTGGTGGAGACAAATTGCTGGTGCTGGCGCTGGTGCTGGGCGCTGGGTGCCGGCGCTGGTGCTGTGAGCTGGCTGTGCGCGTGGTGGAGACAGGTTGCTGGTGCTGGTGCCGGGCGCCGGTGCTGGTGCGGGTGCAGGGCGCCGGTGCGGGTGCGGGTGCATATGTGAGGGGGTGTATTTTCGGATCTTTCTCACAGATAGCGAAGCTATGGGCTGCCTGCGCACGCTTTCGAGAGTCGAGAAAGGTTGCCAGTGCTGCTCCTGGCGCTGTGAGCTGGCGCTGGGCTGGGTGCTGGTGCTGGCGCTGGGCACCGTGAGCTGGCGCGCCGGTGCTCGGTGCTGGCGCCCGCTTCTGACAGTGAAGCGATAACAACCGCCGCTTCCAGCAGCGAAGGGTAACAAACCGCCGCTTGCAGCAGTGAAGGGCGACCAAGCGCCGCTTCTGACAATGAAGTGCCAGCAGTCATGGGCCGCGTGAACTTATGCACGCAACATCATACGGTGTTGTCGCTTGAACGTTCTTTGTTTATTAGCGCTGTGGGGTATTTACACTCTTCAGGTTCTGTTTTGGCCGACAGCTGTGTCAAGGGCTGTGCCGTTTGCGCGCGTACTTTTGCACGTATAATGTTCTATGCGCAACGTCAGGCTCTCAACCGACCATTTGTTTCAGCGTGTTTCAGCATGCTACACACACGCAATAGTCGTGCTGGATACTGCTTGGCCTTGGGCGAGTGAAGCCTACGGGCTTTGCCGTTTGTGCGCATACTTTTGCGCATAAACTTATACGCGCAAGATCATGCGGCCTTATCGTTCTGCAGATCGTTGCTTCAAGCATTCTACAAAGTCAATAGTGGCGCTGGATACTGCTTGGCCTTAAACCAATGACACTTACGGGCTTTGCTGTTTGCGCGCATACTTTTGTGCGCATAAACTTGTACGCGCAAGATCATACGTTGTTATTCCCACTTATTCCCCAAATAGGGATAGCTATGGGGTTCTTGCTCCGAATAAGAATGAGCTGGGCGCGCGCGCTTTCGAAAGGGTGTCGGCGCTGGTCGTGCCCCTGCGCCGCTGCCGGTGTTGTCAGCTGGCAAAGTGCACCGGTGCTGGCGTCAGCTGATTGTGCGCGCTGTAGAGGTGCCGTAAGCTGGCTGCGCAGGCTGCGTACATTCTTGTTCCAGCCAGTCGCGTGTCAACAGGTCGTGGGATTCTGCCTAGCTATCTGGGTCTATGCTGGTGTTATCTATTCTTTCTGGCTACGATCATCACTACAGCGCACACCACCGTACAAGAAAACACACAAGAAAGCGTTTCGGACGTCTTTGCGAGGGCATATAGGTTTGCTGGGAGAAATCATGTGCCTTCGATCTGCGTACAAATCTACAAATCCTGTGTTGGCCCGGACAATTAGAGAAGGCTGTTTTGCCCTTTTCGGGGAGTTACATCGAAGGTACCACAAAAATCTCGCAGCAACAAATTTTGCAAACTACTGCGCTTTCCATGCTAAAGGAGTCGACGTTGCTGGGATGATGCATTGACAGGAAGCATGTGATGGACTGATGGGTAGGTTCAGTGACTGGCTAGATGGATGCCGAGGGCCAGGGCAAACACAATAGTTGTAGTAGAAATGATATAGGCTGGTTATATCTTGCAACATAAGTATGCCCCGGCAGGTGCCCTTGAGAACCTGGCATCCCTTTCTCAAAATAGCCCGAGCTATTGCGGCCCTTTTTCCGAGTGTAGGAAGAAGTGCGTGTGGCTAGATGTGTATGGCCGCGCGCGCTTTGGAACCTGGGCGCTGGTGCCACTGCAGTGTGCCACCAGATGTACGGTGGTGTGCGCTTTGGAGCGTGCGCGCTGGTGCCGCTGCAGGGTGGGCACAGTTGAAAAATGAGCATGGCATGAAAGCGTCGCGTTCAAGGAAAAGTGTGCGCACACTGTGTTGTGGATGGCCTTGCTTTCTAGATGTTTCAAGCCCAAGTCTCAATGGTACAGCACTGCTCACACCAATGCGCAACTTAGAGAACAGGTTGCGCGCGCACACACACACAAATGACACGTAGGCCTCTGCGCGAGCCTCCTCTGCGCGAGCCCGCCCGAGGTTCGCGCGAGCACGACACCTATAGTCGTCCTACGGCTTCCTACGGACAACGGAAACACTTACACCCAAACGCGAAAGTCCTTGCAAAGCAGTTGTGGCAAGCACACTGCGACACGACGCCACGACTAAGTCACGGCAAAGCCCTTGCAGCACTTGTTTCCGCACGGGACAGAGCAGCACCAGCAGCAATTGTGGCTATCGCAACGGTCCCAAATCCTTGACCCTTCACCCCTGTGGAAGCTGCCTCATAGATACAAACGAGTGACAATCAGGCACACCATGGGCACAACACAAAGACATGCGTTATAGTCTGTGTTTAGTGTGAAGTGCAGTTCTGCAAGGGCAGACAGTTCCGAGTCGACTTTACAGAAGCTGAGTCGACTTAACACCAGTACCTAGTAATTGCAGTAGTTACAAACGTGACAGAGGAGCTGCGCGAACACCTGTCTGTTTTCAACTCAATTCCCTGGAACACTTCTACCAAGAACTGACAACTCATGACAACTCTGCCATTCCTTTTTATGCAACATGAAACACACTCCAAGAAATTCCCCATAGATGCTCGGAACCGAGGGGATTGCAACCAAGGAATTCTTAACGTGAGGATTATGACTATGGGGGTCTTTCTCCTTAAGCCTGAAATCAAATCGATCGTTTTTAGAATTGCAAATATGCACAGGTTGCTGGGCGCCGGTGCTGGTGCTGTGAGCTGGCTGTGCACGTGGTGGAGACAGGTTGCTGGTGCTGGTGGTGTAGCTTGCATATGTGAGGGGGTCTATTTTCGGATCTGCTTCAAAAAACAATGAGCTGCCTGCGCGCGCTTTCGAGACAGGTTGCCGGCGCTGGTGCTGTGAGCTGGCTGTGCACGGGGTGCTGGTGCGGGCTGTGGTGTGGGTGCTGTGAGCTGGCTGCGCGCGTGGTGAGACACGGTGCCTGTGCTGGGCGCTGGCAGTGCGCGTGGTAGAGACACCAACGCCGGTGCTGTGAGCTGGCAGCGCGGGTGCGGTGCTGGTGCTGGGCGCTGGGTATACCGGTGCTGAGTGCTGGTGCTGGGCGCCGTGAGCTGGCGCGCCGATGCTCGGTGCTGGCGCCCGCTTCTGACAGTGAAATGATAACAACCGCCGCTTCTGACAGTGAAGGGTGAAGGGCGACCAAGCGCCGCTTCTGACAATGAAGCGCCAGCAGTCATGGGCCGCGTGAACTTATGCGCGCAACATCATGCGGTGTTGTCGCTTGAGCGTTCTAGCGCTGCGGGGTGTTTACACTCTTAGGTTCTGTTTTGGCCGACAGCTGTGTCAAGGGCTGTACTGTTTGCGCGCGTACTTTTGTACGTACAATGTTCTATGCGCAACGTCAGGCTCTCAACCGACCATTCTTTCAGCATGCTACACACATAATAGCTGTGCTGGATACTGCTCGGCCTTGGGCGAGTGAAGCCTGCGGGCTTTGCCGTTTGTGCGCATACTTTTGCGCGCATAAACTTATACGCGCAAGATCATACGGCCGTATCGTTCTGCAGATCGTTGCTTCAAGCATGCTACAAAGTCAATAGTGGCGCTGGAGACTGCTTGGCCTTCGGCCAATGACACTTACGGGCTTTGCTGCTTGCGCGCATACTTTTGTGCACATAAACTTATACGCGCAAGATCATACGTTGTTATTCCCCAAATAGGGATAGCTATGGGGTTCTTTGCCAATAGGAATGAGCTGGCTGCGCGCGCTTTCGAAAGGGTGTCGGTGCTGGTGCTTGTTGTGGTCCTGGGTGCTGGTGCCGTGAGCTGGCTGAGCGCGCGTTTAAGACCGGCGGCGGCGCTGGTCGGGTGCTGGCGCCGCTGCCGGTGTTGTCAGCTGGCAAAGCGCACCGGTGCTGGTGTCAGCTGATTGTGCGCGCTGTGGAGGTGCCGTAAGCTGGCTGCGCAGGCTGCGTACATTCTTGTTCCAGCCAGTCGCATGTCAACAGGTCGTGGGATTCTGCCTAGCTATTTGGGTCTATGCTGGTGTAAATTTTTTTGCACGATTCAATATACACGACGTGAGCCAACACGACACTTTGGACAAGACACGACAAAGGTGCATGAAGGAGAGAGATAGGGAGATCATTCAATGTAGGGTCAGTAATGTGACACATGCTGTAGGAGTATAATCAAGAGGCGGCTTGGGCTGTTGCTAGAGCCAAATAACATGTTGTCGACAAAGAGTTGGACCAGTCGGACCAAACGTCAAATAACCTCGTTGAACATTGCTTGCCAAGCGAGGTGATTCTGTGCTGTGCTTTCATGTGCTTTCTAAAAGCACAATGCACTTGGTTTGCTGTGCGGTTGCACTGCTAAAATGTTGTATAGAACCCCCTGTAGATACCACTGAGAAGAGCAAAGGGTCCTTGGATAAAAGGAATTACATTTGACACATTTTGACACCAAGAGAGACAAACAGAAACAATTGACAGCTCCAGGGTGAAGGGTGGGGCCGCAATAGACTTTGGACAAACAAAGAGGAAAGAAAACAAATCGGTAGGTGAGAAAACAGTGAGGTGGGTTCTCCATGGTTCTCCCATAATCTCTCCCATGGTGACAGCTGCCATTCCCAACACAACAGCTTTTGGCAGCTTAAGGCTTTGAGAGGGCTTCTGCATGCTTCTGCTGACTTGACTACGATGCCGGGCGTTTTCCGTCGCTCCAAGATGCTCTCAATGTCAACCTGCAATCAACGGCTTTAGCGTCATGAATGGATGCGCGGCATCGCAACTAAACTGCGTCGGGTAAATTGCTACTTGGTGAAACTGCGCAATTGGAATTTTCACTTCTCATCAATTTTCTCTAGAAGGCAATTCGAGCCCAGGCAGTGCTAACTTGAGAATACCAAAGATGTGAACGTACTCTCGGGTTGAACACTGTTTATCTCAATACCTGGAGATTCAAAAGGAAGACATGTCTCACGGTCCAACTACATTCAGGGGCTTGAAGAAGAGCCGCTTGATCTTGGTTTGGCAAAGGATGTGCACTTCGAAGTCTCAGTGTTCGACATTCCAGACTGCTAAGTGCTGTAGGTAGAAAAGCAACAAACAAAGGCATCCTGTTCCTTTTCTTCTCTTCTGCCTTTTTGAGGGAAATGACGCATTGGAACATGTTCCTTTTCCTGAGATTGCAGCCCCTGAAGATGATGCGGTATGAAGCCAGGGTGGCATTGGCCTTCGATCTTAGGCACATAAGCCAAAGAAACAGCGGAAGGCATAACTGCTGAAGAATCTTGTTGATTCATAGCACCCTCCATTCACAGCAAAGTGGACAAGCATAAGCACGCGGCCGGGAGACACAGTCAACATGGACAAACATACTAATTGAACATCTTCAGGATACAAACAACTTGAGTTGTTTCTCAAACATAGCCACCCAATGGGTAGCAACGGGCGGACAGCCCTTGTCTTCCTAGCCCTTTCAAAGACCGAGTAGAAACGGTGAAACATCGAAACACATTCGCACTCCAAGCGTGCCCCCAGCAGGAACAATTCAGGTCTCGGCTTGTACTTGTGCATGTAGACGCCAACAATCAATTGCACAACCTCTGCATTTGATGGGCAGCATTCAGTCAATGACTTGTATAACAAGTAGATTGCAGGTGCAACAAGAAACTATGAGAGCCAAAAGCTGTGACTTTGAGATTTGTAAGGCTGCAGCCCAAACACAAATGCCTCCAATGGCCTCGCGATGTATTGATTGACAAGACTTCTTAGAACGATGCACCGGATGCGGATTGACAGCCAGCTCAGCTTGACACGAGCATTGTGAACGTTGCATTATCCTTGCAGTCTGAGAAGGCATCACCAATAGGAACCAATGCCTTGCATCTCGGATGCAAGATTCACGGTTGTCAAGGTGGTGAGATGCTAGGCAACCAACTGTGATTGTGAGAAGAATGATGAGCAGCATGGTGGCATACGTCATGATCCTGGGTCTTACAGGGGCAGTCCAGTCTTAGACAAACCTCTTTGAGACAGGCCTTGGGTCTTCCCTTAAGATGCCAAGCAGCTTTGTTATGATTGACAGGAATTTACAAAAGCAGCCAATGCCTGGGTTTTCAGCTTGCAAAACTAACTCTGGAGTACTATTCTGCGGCACTTGGATGAATGCTTTTGAGCAGTCGCAGCTTTCTTGACCGAGACATTCTTGAGATGCAATGCTTGCTTGACATAACTTCTACCTTGGAGTCAATCCTGCTCTGCCTTCGTTGCATTGTTTGCATGCTGAGAAGGTTGCATTTGAGACCAATGGACATGTCTATGTAGTCGTCCTTCGGAGGAATGCTGTGCCAGCCACAACAAAAAGCGAAAAGGAACTGTTGTTACATAACATGTTTATAATTTTTGATTGTTCCTTCTTCTGCACACTAAGGCGATTGACTAAACTGGACGATTCAGCGCTTTCTGACACTTGCTGTCTGATGTCTTCCCATCAGTTTCACGACCTCTTCCAGGAACGCCACCACCAAGAAGCCCAGCCACAGCAAGAAGGACACGACCCCTTGGAAGAGGTAGGCAAATGCCGTGATGAGAACCTGGAGAGGTATCATTGCAATGATGCTTGGAACAGGTATTCCGACGTTTGTGTGTGTGTGAGAGATTGAGAGTGCTGACTCTGGCAGGCACGTACCAAGGAACACATCCAAAGTCTCACTTCTATATGTACATATATAACTGCTCTATACATATAGGTGTGTTCACACACTGGCACTGAGTTCGAAACGAAGAGCAGCACATCACAATCAGAGCAGTGCTTGCACACGCATGATTGAGCAGAGGAAGGTTTTGGCTCCTGCTTGCAAAAGGGGCATCACGTTCTCTCCTTACTCTGCTCAAGCTACACTGCCGTTCCTGTGCGATCACTTTGCTCGGGTGAGCAGGAGTCGAATTCAGATAGAGCTGTGCTGTGCCACCGCTGAGATGTCGAGAATCTAAAAGCCGCCCGCACCGAAGGTATTGGGGCGCGTGTATCCGGGTGGCATAGTCAATCGCAAGGTTTCAGCTTGAGCGGGGGGGGGGGGGCTATTTTTCGGTCAAGAAACCCGAGCTTTTGAAGGTTGTTGAACATCGAGTGCAAAAACCGCGGTACATACCGGCATTTGATGAAGGTTTTTGGATGTTTTTTGGACACGCAACTTTTTGAGGCGTTCTTGAAACAGTTAAAAGAACGTTGAGGTTTTTGAGATTTGGTCAAAAATAGCCAGGTACCAGCGGCTTCATGGTACGGCTCGCTGGCTAGGGGTTCGTACTAGCCAGGTAGAGCCGGGACGGTGGGAACCTATGTATTTTAGTAGCACTCAGAACATCTTTTGAACAGCTGTTTGTCACAAGAAGCATGCGTCACAAAGGGCTCCGCAACATCTCACGCACACATGAAGTTGCATGTTTAGTTCTACTAGCAACAAGTAATCTGTACTAAAGCTCGCAGTGTCAAACAGCAGCCTCTAGATGGCAGGTGCTCGGTGTCAAAAAGGGCATTGCCTCAAATTGCCTGTCTCTGACTCATATGGTTCGATGCAGGGCTTCCAAAGCACGTAACGGTCTCAATGATGGAAACAATCAGACATTTCTCCCGGTCTGGGCGGACCCAGCCGCATAGCGGCGTGAATAAGCTTATCATTGGCAAGGCGTGGCATGAGTGCAACAGTTCTGCCCTCCTGGCCAACGTGCAAGGCCAACATCCCTAGGAGCAAGGACGCTACTAGGAGCAAAGGGCATCGCTACTAGGGGCTCCTGGCCGTACTACTAGGAACAAAAGAACACTACTACGGGCTTTGTGCAACTCCAAAACACAAAGCCCTACTTCAAACGACCACATCCTTGTCAATTCTGGTTTTCAAGTTTTCTGACAAATACAATAGATCCAAAGTTTCAGTCACAGTTGTGCCGAACTTAAAACCTCGGAGCAACTGTCTTTGAGAGAACACGACATGTCAATTCTGCAAGGTAGTTTCGAAGGAGTTAGAATGACCGCCGCCGCACTATCCCAGCTCATTCTGACAATGTACGAACCAACGCAGCTCCAAGTAACAAACTTCACAAACTTCAGCCGTGTAATGCTGAGTATTGAGTATCCACAAACGACGTCAGATCAAGTTGACCTGTTGAATGTTTCTCTGGTTCTGCTGCCCAGCAATGGATAGGCAACGCAACACATAAAGGATAAGAAACAACACTAGTGACTAGTGCTGAACGACATGCTTATCTAGTAAGCAGCCAAGCACCAAACAGGAATCAAGCAGGTTCCGCAGCCAACAACGAAACAACCAAAATAAGCACGAGTAGCCCTTCTTCACCTCAACTTCACCTCAACCAAACCTTTTTTTGGCCAGAATGGGTCTTGGAAGGCCATATTGTCTTTGGATGATTGCTTGGTCACAAAAATATACGCATAGTCACATCATAGGATGCCATAGGCTCGCAAAGTAGCAACGATGCTTTCAAGCTGTCTACTTCTGTCCTGGCAGGTTACTCCGGCTGGGCAAGAAACACTCCTTGTCCTCACACCGGGGATGCACTGCCTCAGTAAACACAACAAACCACGGATACTCTGAAACAATAGCCAGGAAATAAAATAGACTTCGAACATAGCGCCAACATGCAGTTCACACCCCCAAAAGGTCCGGGCATGTAGCATGTGCATGTTGACCAGGGGGTCGTTGTGTATTCCTACAATGCTGACTCAAGTTCACAAGGAAGGGAAGGGCATACGACGGCATACGCGCAAACAAGTCTTCACCCTTCAAAGGAGTTTTAAAGAGCTGAACACAAGTTGACGGTGCATATGAAATGCTCCTGTGCATACACAACATTGTCACAAATCGGGATCTCACCTGCAGGTTTGAAGCTGGAGCTGTCGCTGGTGCAGTAGTCGCTGTCTGAAGCCTGCAGGCTTCCGCTTTTGCGCAGCAACGTGTTGAAAAGCTTTTGAATGACTCGTTAGTCAAAACAGCTTGCAGTGTAGTTTTGTCGTTCCAAACTGAATACTGAACACCTGCGCTGTTTAGACCAAAAACTGACAAATCCGGCTCCAAAGCTGCTTAGTGTTTCAACTCTCCGACTAGTTATATAATACCAACTGTGCACGGTAAGTTGATAAGCCACAAACGGCCCAATAACACAATGTTCAAAATTGGAAAAACGTGGACAATAACCCGAGGTTGATTGAACCTTGAGGCAGCAAGACTTGTGCTTTGGACAAAGAAATCAAGGCTTGCTACGTTTGGTATGATGACGCAGAGGTTCAATCAAGCATCGACTCATGCCTCCTGTCAGAGGTGCAGAAGTTGCCTGCTTAAGTGGATATGGCAGCAATCATGGTATGGAACCGCAGAAGGACTCTACCAGTAGATCGTAACAATAGGTTAGGATAACGCAACCCCACCTCCGCAATTCTCCAGATCATCGAGGTTCTGGTCAAACACCTGTTTTGTCCCTCTTTGCAATCGAACATTTCGAACTGCTGCCTCCACACCTCCACACCATCGAATCCAACTACTGCGTTTTGAAGGGCTGCATGCCCAAACCTGGGGAAAAGCAATCTGGCTAGGCTAGCCGAGGCTAGGTAGCTCAGTTGTGCTTTCATAGCAGACGAAAAAGCTAGGGCCTGTGCGAGGTGTGTCTTTCTGCCTGGAAGGATACCTCCTCAGGTAGCAGTAAGTTGAACAAGTTCAGTTCGTGTGCTTAACTTACAACGTTTTTTGTTGTTGGATATTATATATATATGTTCCTCGAACTGTCCAACTGGGAACCGATCTGCATGGCCCGCTGGAACATTGCAACATGCTCGATCATCGATGGACGGACTGATGAACAAATCGCTGTTCTGCCTATGTTTGTTCCCTACAACCCCCCTTGCTACAGAACAAACGGACTTGAAAAGGCGCTTGTCTAGTATATCTGCGGCCGCCAGCCATTACTGTAATATTGTTTTGACCTCGTGCACACGTACCTCGTACGCCTGTACCTCGTACATCAAAGCACTACCCATCATTTTCCTAGCAACATGACAGGAAAGCTCTTGAAATCTCGGGGTCCAAAAATGCGCAGGGCCACATACACACTCGTTTTTCACAAGGCCCCATTTCTGCTGTAGCTTTCAGTTCACACCTGACCGTACACCCACTCGGCCCACTCGCACGTTCTTGTACGTGCCTCAATGGGAGCTTCAGGCACAGTAGCCTCTTCCTGGTCTCGTTTGCGTTCCTCGGAGCAAATGGGGAGAAATGGATGTTGGAAAGCCACGAGAAGCAGCTGCCACAGGAAGCAGTTGAGCCATGCACGGGAACCAAAGAAGCAAGTAATGCCTGAAGATCGAAATTGGAGCAAAGGGCATCGCTACATATCGCTACTAGGAGCAAGGACGCTACTAGGGGCTCCTGGCATCGCTACTAGGAGCAAGGACGCTACTAGGAGCAAAGGGCATCGCTACTAGGAGCAAGATGATGAGATATCGTGAGGGAACGGGGTGACATGGGGTGGAGTATTGCCATATTCCCAATGGCATTGAGTCAGGGCCCCTGGACAGTTCTGGAAAACATGATTCTCTAGCCTCCCTTTTTCATCATCCCTACTGTGTATAATGTATAAATAGGTCTTACAGTATATACATGGTTTCTTACCGGACTCTGACAAACCCTCCCAGTATGCTGCTTCAGAAGTCCCAGGTCTCAGAGACACTGTGAGTTTGCAGACTTTCCAGTTGCGTGCTCCAAACCCGTGATTGAGCTATGCATCGCGGTGACACATCTCAAATCATGTTTGCCCAGGTGGACGACTTGTTTGAAATCCCACACTGTTCCAATCTTGGATTTTCACATCAGCCTCTTGTGTTCCAACATTTCATCCTTTTCCATTCTAAGAGTTCATTTGTTTGCCATTCTTCTCTTGTGTATTCGCTGCATCATAGCGATATTCTGCATTTCCCACATCAATCTGCTTGGGTTCTTGCTGCGCGATTCTCTCATTTCCTGTGGCCATGTTCAAGTTCTCGGCTTGGTGCATTCACTTTCTCTTGTCATGCCCACTGTAGTTGAACCCTGATTTTTGCATTAGCATGGCGTGAATGAGGCGCGTTGCAAGGTCCGTGAGTGCACACTGTGCCCTGTGCTTTGTTAATGCATCCACCTCTCAGCAACACAGGGCACACACAGGGATCGCAAGCGAACAACACGTAACTGGGCGAGGGAATGCAAAGAAGTGGGCAAGGAAGAAAAAGCCCGGTACGGGCAGAAAGCACTAGTTTAAAAGAGAACTCCAACAAAGTCAGATCAACACTCTTGCAAGAACTTTCCGTTTCAACACAAGTGCTTTCCTGCAGCATGAATAGCAACTACATGCATGATGTAAAAGTGCCAGGGAGATCCCAAAAGTCTACCCACTTCTAAACAAAGCCCTGACTCCCGGCTGCCTTCACTCCTGGCTGCACATTCAAGTCCATATCAAGTTCATCCAAACGCCTTGCACAAGACATGGGGGCACAAAATAGTAAAGCACACTTGCAATTTGCTGCAATGCGCAAGCACACATCTTGCATTTGAATCCACCCCATTGTCCTCACATTGTTTGCAGCACAATATGAAGATACCTGAGAAATGATTGCTCAAGCTGGGGACACTCGAACAAAGACACGACTTGTCTTGGTCTTTGCACATGCTGTTCAAGTTTCGATACTAATATAGAGAAAAGAAAAGAAAGCGAATACAAAACAAAGTATGGGGTCCCTTTCAGGGCACACTTTGGTCCTAGGGCCCTGATTAAAAGGGCCGCTTACCATCCCTTACCTTCTTTTTTCATTGATACGGTTCCTTTGACTTTGAAACACAATCTGGGCCATCTGACATTGAATGCTGGCTCTGCGCACATCGACGCAGTGGTGAGGGTCATGCCTTCATTCCTTGTAGGATCATCCAGACTGGTTGATTGAACGTCACACATGCCACATGCCCCTCAAAAGTGTCTACTATCCACAAGCTCTGTTCACAGCCCTTTGCTGCCGTGATTCGCACAATCTGTTGCCTGAATGCGCGCCACAGAATGCATTTGTCATGTGCAAAACCCCAGAAGAATCAGACCCGGGCTATAGCATCAAGCGTTGTTGTGGTAACCACGGCGCTTGTGAAATAGGTGCCATTTTCAAAGTTGCACTCCTTGGCCGTCCACTAGAATTCTGTGCGGAAGCTCAAAAAGAACGAACCAACTGTAACACTATGGTATAATAGTCACACGTGCTTGATTGATTTATATATTGGGAAGCCCTTGGAATGCATAAGACTCGGCACGTATCGTGGTATTGGCACCCTGCCAGCCAAAACATGTCCGTCATGCGAGTCACGCGGTCTTGAATTTGGAGTCTGGAGTAGCTTCTTGCTACTAGTAGCGAACATTGTTACTACTAAGGCACTTGTTACTAGAAGCGATGCACTTGTTCCTAGTAGCTTCTTTAAGGCACTTGCCAAAAATTTTGCCTCAAAACATCTTGCGCAAAAATATTGCGTCCTTGGAGGGACCCGGAATTTGGACGCCTTGACACAAAGTTTTTGGCGAACTTGACCCCCCCAAACCCCAAATTATATAATTTGGAGCCCTCAGGACCTGGTTTTTGCTGTATAGGTTTTGACCTAAATCTACAAAACATGTCTTATGCATTCCAAGGGCTTCTCAACTTACATATGTATATAAACCACGAATGGTTCTGGGTTGCTTGGCTTCGCTGAACCATTGGAGGGTGAGATGGAGGCAAACTTGCAGATTCACAACACTCAATGTCACAGAGCAAAACATTCCCGTAGCACATCCTGTCTTGGATAGGTGATGGAAAGACTGCCAGTATCAAAGCAAATTGTTCAGTCTGAATTGCAGCCAGGTGGAAGTACGTAGCATCTGCAAGCAATGCCACAAGCTGTGAGTGTGTAACCTACTCGTCTTCCATGGGGTGGGGCAAGGGCCAAAGCAGTTGAGAAGACCCTCTCACTGCAATGTCAATGCAACTGTCACGCTTTCTTTGCAAGACATTGCAAGCAGCTCTGCTGTACACTCACACCTTGGCGTCATGTGTACATGCTTGTGGTACATCAAACAAGGTCCATTTATCAGATCTTGAGTTGCTTCTTTGTTTGCAGTCTTTCTCGATCTCTGCCTTTCCCACCATGTAGTCTGGAAAGTAGGGAATCTTTTACAGTGAGTCTGTGTTTTGTAGGCATCAAAATCAACTCTCCTTTGCCAGCATTCAATGTTCAGCTTTCAAAAGTGAAATTACTGGGTGCAAAAACACCAAGCTAAAGCCTTCTCCAAGGCATTATGGTGTGTGCACGTGCTTGGCTTCGCTGGCCCGTTACTAGGCAAACATTTCATATACATCCCCAAAGCCCACCCCCAACACCTCGGCAGGTTGGCCGTGATGCAAACTGAGGCTCTGGAAGCTGCAAAGTTGCGACGAAAGCTGTACACATAACCTGGGTAGGGTTCAATTAAAATGCTTGGAGGTAGCTTCCGCCTCAAACATGTTCAAAGAACACAATTCAGCAAACTTTGAGGAGCAAGCCTTTCTGCAATAGGACCTTCACTTGAGAATCCGTCACACAGATCTTTATATTTGCGAATTCAGGGACACCCACTGTGCAACCCTTTTGTGGAAACTGGGAGGGGTACGCTATCGGATAAGTTGCACTAGTGCCGCCAGAGGCGAGGCTTTTCGTGATGTAGTCCCTCACTGCGAACCTTGAGTTGCGTGCAGCTGCTTGGTGCAGGACATATTTGATTTCATCTCAGTTTGTGAAACGGTCAAAAGTGTTCAAGACACACAAAGGACACCAAAAAACCAATGAGATGGGCAGTGACAGCGATCCTATAACTTGAAGCTAGCTGACGTTGGCTTTCGTGACATGGATGTTGCAAGGGTGATCAATGTGAATCAGGAACCCAAGTAACTACCCATGTAGCTAGCTGAAGGAAAATGGCCGTAGGATCCAGAATAGCATAATAGACACAAACTGTCACCAGAATGTGTCATTTTAGGTCTTCACAATGTGTTGCTTCCATGGCCACTGCAATAGCTTTTTCAATCTTGGTTATATATATATACTGTATATAAAGCAACACAAACAAAAAAACCGTTTCCAATCTTGCCCACAAATGCTTGTGCAACATGCTCTTATGTTTTAGCCTCTAAGTGCGGCTCCACTCCAACGTCGACTGTGAATTTTGAAGAATGGACTCGCAGTTGGTGTCGATGGCAAAATCTCCTTGGATTTGCAAGGATGATGTAATTGCCCTCCAGCACCCTTGCAGGTTGCACTTGTGATGAATGACATTGTGGAGCAGCTTGGCACTGGCAAGGTCCTCCTTCTTTCTGTTTCAACATTTCCGGCATTTGTTCGTATCATTAGGATCATTTCAGGCGGGAGCCCGTCAAACGGCGCAAACACCGGCAGCATCCGGCAAGCGATTCCAAGCAGGGTGATTCTAAACGACGCAAGTGAGAAGTTGATGCTGGAACGTGGGACCCTAAGAGGTGGGTTTGAAAGAGATGATTAATGAACGAATGGTAGTGGGTTGCGGTGGAACTTGAACTTGACTTCAAGTGTCCGATGACTTCTTGAGGACTTTGCGGATTGTAAAGATGCTTAGACTGTCTTGCATACTCCCTGGTTAATTGATGTTATAAATTGCAGCATTTTTCTACTTAGTCTTCCGTACGGCGTGTGGCGTCCAAATGCATTCAGACCGTGCGCGTTTTTGTTTTCCCAAGTGCGTGCGCTCTTGTAGGCGTGCTCTGTGCAAATTGCCCCATGATGCCTTCCACACCTGCAAGAACCGATGAACTCAATGCCTTTTGCAAGAACACGGGGTATAGCCTCCAACGAGCCGACACGAGCGTGGCGTCACCCAATCTAGGAGGACCGTATCTGCAAGGCAAAATGAAGATCGGGCAATTGTCTGCCCTACGCGTGCCCTTTATGTGCGCTCCCACTCGCCGCTCCCCCCATGTGTTGTTGTAACCCTGCGTGTGATCTCATGTGTTTGCTCCAATATGTGTGCTTTCATGTCACCTCTGCAATCTCACACGTGCGCACCTTGCTCGCTCTCGTATTTGCCTTCATACCGGTGACCCATACGTGGCCACATGTAGTCTTTGACATTTGAATCTGCAAGGGGCACGGAGACTGATTTCTTATCTGCGCCAAATAGCTACGGAAATCAGTTAAGAGTTGGGACGCCGAGACCTCCCAGGTCGAGAGGGTGGCGGTTGACACCGACAACAGGCGATTTGACACGTTGACCATCATCTTAGACTCGTTTCTTAGGCATTTCGCCGCAGCGGGCACTCGACGCGCACGATTCCCGTAAAAGGCCGCAAGCAGTTACTTTCGTGGCGTCTCGAGCGCCCCACCCCCGCCTAGCCCAAGAAATAAGACTTTAATACGATGAAAGAAGCTGTGAAGATGTGAGAGATGAAGATATCAAATGTGAAGATGTCTAGCAGGTTACACACTCACGCGCGCACACACACACACACAATTTTTGTGTACATCTGCACATTTTTTCAAAGCGCATAGATGGTAGGTTCTTTACAATGCGCAGCCACTGCAAAAGTTCATGTGGCAGACTTCACCTCGCCGGAAGTCAGAGTGCTAGGAGGAAGGTTTTTTTTTCAATCCAAGTATCGAATATCTAATGGATAGGCAGCGGCCGCTGCCTGAGTATATCACTTGGAATCTTGTTTGTCATCTGCTATTCTCTCGAAATATTAATGTGAACCAATTGAGCAAAGCCACAGCCATGGAACCTGCGCAAAGCGTTTTGAAACTATTCCAGGAAGAAAGACATGTGACATCCTGTTGTCTGTGCCTCCTGCACTTCTTGGCACACTCAGGGAAAAAACATTGGAAGAGTTTCTGCTCGCTGGATCTACAATGCTGAGTTGAACACTGCTGATCTTGAATTTTATGTATGTACACATATCCATCGAAAACGAAACGCGAGTGTTGTGGTGTATTGGTTATGTACTTAGCACGACGGCATTGACACTTGTCAGGCCTTGGTAGCAAGCATCCTTCGAGGCCACGTGTCTGTCGTAGACCGCAATCCGCAGTCCTGCAGACTACAGCCATTCAGCTTCTTCTTGAAGCCAAGTCAAACACGCAGTGATGGGTAGCTTTGATGCCTACATCAGCTTTAGTCCCTTGCATTCATCAAAAAAGCCAGTACCTGAGAAAGGAGAGGACGAAAACCAGCGAGAGACCAATATGGTAGTGCAAGACTGGGAGGAAAAAATAGCGGAGCACTTATTGTTGAATGCCTGTAGCTTTTGCGGAGCTTGTATCAACGTGGAGTAGATCAAGATCGGAGCACAGCATGAAGTATTGAATGTTTTAGGTTTTCTCGATTTTCCTGGCGCGGTGCTCTCTGGAGCGTCCCTGTTTGGTGGTCTACTTGAGAGTCCGTGTAAAAAAACGGTAGTGAAGACCAGGAGAAGAATGCCCGAAAGGTGGTTTTTTGTTGTTTTCAAATGTGTTTTGGACATCGTGCATCAATGCGAAGCCCTATAAAGAGCAGGGCTGGGAGGAAAAAGAGGAGAGCACTCATTCTTGAATGGTTGTAGTTTTCGTGGAGCTGGTATCACTGCGACTGAGATCAAGATCGGAGCACAGCATGCAGTGTTGAACGCTGGCAGCTTTCTTGCTTCTCCTCTTGCGGCGCTCTTATCCCCAAGCCTCTACCTCGCCCAACTTTAGCATCAATCTCAACTACTGCTCCTCTGCGACAGAAGAAAGCATCACTGAACAAGAACCCACCTGACCCTTTGCCCCTTTCATGGGCTGCATCGGAGGCTGCAATCATGCGCGGCTCTGAGGCAGGAAACAGGGAGACTGTCCTCCGGGGTCGCAAGGACAAAATGGTCTCGATAACGTCAAAGGCGACTTTGAGGTGGGTTGTCAGCTCAACTGACGTGTCGACATGCTGTCAATCTTTGATGGCATTCAGCCCTGCACGGGCAAAGGCAGCTTGGTCTAAGAAGGTCACACATCCGAACTTCTTGGCCGCTGTACCTGGGTGGAGCAGGCGGTCACGACGGGCAGTCCGAATGAAGTCTTGTATCTTATCGTGCCGAATCCAAAGCTGGATTTTGCCAACCAAGTGAGCTGCTGACAAATCGTGGATCATGCCTAGAAAGTCTTCTTTGAAAGAGGGGGATTGTCTCTTGTCCGCTGCAAAGGGCTCCCAGTCCTGCAGTGTACAATCATTGTAGTAGAAGCTGGCCATAAGTCCTAGCATCCGCCGCAACAAGGCTTGGCAAAAGAACGGCAGCCGATTGAAGGCAGCGAGGGGTAATCCGAAGAGCATCGAATGGTACTGCCGGAAGGCCAGTCTACCTTGGGCCGATTGGTACACTACTATGCGTGCACAGCTATGGTCCTCTAACCTGGGAATCTTACGGTTTGGCCAAATGCCACAGGGTTCTGCTGGAAATCCGCTGTGTAGCCCGGAGCAAAATGAGGTGTCTGGCCACTGCATCATGGCAATGAGGAGAGCGATGACAGCAAGATGCACTTTGGGATTCACTGCTGCCAGAACTGGAGTCTGGCTGCTGCGGATGTACTGTGTGACACCTTCCAAACGAGCGCAAATACCCAGAAAACAATCCAGTGCTTCCTGCCGAAAACGGACAACTCCCTGGCCAAGGTCAGCCATCAGATTGGCGACATAGGCAATGTCAACGTCCACTGGCGAAGGGAAATCTAGTCCGTCAACTTGTACTTGCAGTGCTGCCGCAAAGTGCTCCTCTGGTGTCAAATTGAATGGAACGACTGGCGGAGCTGCTGTCCGCCTGGCCCCAGCCCCTGCTTGCTCGGCCATGCCTGCTCGGAAGGCAACCACACCTGCAGTGGGGAGCATGGTGTGGCCAATGGGGCCATCGGCTGCATAGCTACCCTCATGGGCCCACTGATGGAATGAAAGGAAAGCTGGACAATTCATCAGATCTTCCAACAAAGGCCACTTAACACCTTGGAAATCCAACATGGGAAACTGACTCCTGATGGCTGCCATAGCAGCTGACTGACTGAAAGCTTGGGGAACTGCGCGGACAAGCCGGATCCCTGCCAGCATGATGGCTCTAGAGGGGGGACGGTTCTGCGAGACCGTCGTGGCCGATGCGATCGATCAAACCACTTAGCTATGATGACATCCACGTGACAGAACGAGTTGGTTGGACAATCGCAAACTATGATTTTGCTGGTGAGCTCATCGAGGGCTCCATCAAGCTGCATCCTGTCCCAGCCCATGATATACTTGAAAACAGTGTCAACATGAGTCCCATCTCGTCCCACAACAAATGGGTTTTCCCACTTCGTAGGGCTAAGCCTGTGACGAAAATGCCGGTGTCCTGCGTACACGACTCCTGCTTGGAGCCCAGTGCCCTGATCGAAGTAATCTGCAACGTGGCCTCGCACGGGCAACCCTAGCTGGTTTGAGACCCAATGAGATAGCCATCGGGACCATGGCATCTTGCCGAAAGGTGGAGACTTCCCAGGCTGTCCAACACCTGCGATCACCTGAACATTCAACTGGGGGTAAGCGGGGAATCCTGATGATTGCATGGCCTTGGCTGGCTGTCCAAAATGTACATGCAACAGCTACGGTGAAAACAAGGGCAGCAGGATACTCAGCCTCTTCAGTGCTAGGATATTTGGTCCTTCCATCTAAACTGTATGGCCGCCAATCATCTTCATTGTGCATGTGGGCGCACACCAAATTGGGTAGCGACCTCAGCTCAGGAATGTTGTGACGAATGGTCTGCGCTTTCTTCCTGGCTGCCAGGAAACAACAATTGTCGTAACAAAAGTCGGACCAACCTCCATCTGTGTCCATGCTAGCACCTGTCAAGGTGGGTAGTCCCTTGAGGAAACTTCTCTGTCCTCAGAGGCTTTGGAGCATTCGTTCCTGGCAGTTTGATCTCTCGAATTCGACTCTTGGTAGAACAATCGATGGCGGCACTCACAAGGTGGCACTGAAGCAAAATGGCATTGATGGCTTTCTGTACAGGAGGCTTGACTAAATCAAATTCACTGTCAATGAGAATGTCGATTGGCTGAACAATTTTCCAACCAGCCCACTCAAACGCCTGTGCAAGCGGGAAATTAAATGCGGTCCGGACAGCAAATCCAAAAAGACAGGGACCTGAGGCTGGTCATCATCCATTGTCTCAACCTGAGCCCATCCATTCTGGATAGCGGCGACATGCTGATGGAATTCTTCCAAAGCGCCTGGGGTGCTGGAAGGCAGAACCTAAGGAATCGCACCTTTTTGACTCGGGCGACGGGACGGTCAGCGGGGCGTGCGCCAGGCAACAGCTGACTCTTCCAAAATGCCGAGTGCTCCTGCTGGCATGAATTGTGCACAGGTACGGCAGAAGGGCCTCTCGTGCACCAGTGCCTCCTGCACAGAGTCCGCAAAGCAGACATTGCTCTTAAAGAAAGTTTCCCGTTTCTTCCATTGGCAAACGGGCTTGGGCGTATCAGAGTTGAAATCGACGGGCGCCACGTGCCACAAGGACTTGTCCGCTTCAGCTGAAATGAACCTCAGCGGAATCGCCGCAAAATTCTCGGGCAAGGACTCCCCTTCGGCACGATCATGCACCCACTTGGTGAACTTCTTGTAACGATCGCCCAACATCTTGTGGGGCTCACAATGGCCCGGACTGAGGCCAAATGCCTCATGGACTCATCCAACGACTGCCCTTTCAGGGTGCTAAGGATCATCCCTGTCCCCCACCGGTGCTCGGTGTACACCTGCCATACAGTGGACGCAGATGGAACCTCCATGCTCCAACGTACGCCGCACCAGTGGCTTGAGCTGAGTCCACTGCTGGTTGTGAATCCTCTCATCGGACACAGCAAACTGACGAATCAGGCAGCCTGAAGGGAACTTTGCCCCCTTCGATGTCGCCGGCTGCTTGAAACAGGTGACAACCAGCTGCACATTGTGGTTTTTCAACACCTCACACGCTGCGTCATCCGGGATTCCCCCAAGCAAAATAAAGGGACCGCTACCAGATCCATGATGCCGGTGCACCACTGCCGGTGGCTCAGGGCGATCTCCGTGGCCAGGCTTCCTCCACCTCTTGGCGGCGAGTTCATCAAAATACGCATCATCGCCTGGGTCCAGCTCTGGCTCCTCAACTGGGAGGAATGGAAGCTCATCTGCCTCCTCTTCAGCGACCTCCAGGTCGTCAGGCGGTGGACTCCCCACAGCAACACCAGCGCTTTCTGCGTCAGCGGGCGGGTTCTCCGCAGCCTGGACTTCTCGCTGCTTCTTTGACAGCTGTTGCATGGCCTTGAAGCCTCGACCTCGAATCGTGAAAAATTCTTTGCATCAACGAATTCGCCTTCTGAAAATGAATCTCATCGGACGAGGCTGTGAAAAAGACGACCTCCTTGGCCTGCAGGACGGTGGACGCTCGATCAAAGCTCCGCTCACGAGTAGCCACATAGAGCTTGTGGCCCAGCTCGTCCCACATCAGAACCTTCTCGGGCTGAGTGACACCATTTGCAAACAGGCGAAGCACGCAGCGCCAAAAACCAGTGTAGCGCAGGGGCATCTCACTGCGCTGGGTGTCTGCCGGCTTGTCCACCCAGTTCCCCAAGGCCACAGTGGTGGCTGGGGGAACCTCAGCCAGCATAGCCCATGTGATCGACATCTGCGGCCAAGACTTGCTGGACAACATGGCAAGCTCACCATCGGGGACCACCCCCCAGATCGCTAGGCGCACCGTGTCCAAAATGGACTTTGGGCGCAACTTCTTCCGAGTCTCGATGTCGAACCCAAGAGCCTCGGCGGTATTGTCGATGAAGTGGCGCTTCAACCAAGGCCCAATGTCCAAGTGGAACACCACACATCGACGGGGCGCAGCCCACAGAAACCCTTGCCGCTGCCCTTTCTGCTTGCCTCTGGGGCACACAAAGTAAACCGAGTGGCTGTTCGCCTTCAGGCAACTTTGAACGCTGCACATGCTCAAGCCGAAGGCAGCCAAAGACCTGGAGGTAGGTCACCACCAGGGCCGGCGCAGCTGCAGTGTTGTGCGTGGCATGCGC